CCGGCGCGGGGGCTGGCGCGTTCCGTTGCCAGGCAACGGGCGGGCGTGGGGACGACGGACGGCCGCCGCGCGCGCAGGCAGAGGCGGCGGAGCGGCCGAGGTGGGCTGCAGGCCGGACCCTCGCGGGGACCCAGGGCCCCGCGCCGCCCCCGCTCTCGGGGACTCCTGTGCTCCGGGACACGCCGCTGCGCTGGACCGGCCGCCCGGGCGCGTGCAGGAGGAAGCCGGGCCGCGGCTCCGGCCCCTGCCCCCGGGCGGCTTGTGTCGGTCCCACAGCGACCCTGGCCACACAGCAGGCCTCCCGCGCTGCCGAGGAGGCCCCGGCGGCCCCCGGCCCCCGCCCGGTGCAGCGCTGGGCAGCCCCGGCACGGCGGTGTGGGTGTCTCCCCGCGGCGTCTATGCGGGCCCGGCGGCGCCGAAATGCAGGGCCAGCGGCGGCGGGGGGCAGGGCCCGGTCACGCGCCCCCTGTCTGCGGGTCTCCGCGCGCGGGCAACGAGGGAGCGGGCGAGGTGTCCCTCTACCGGGCCTCTAGAGACAGCGGGGCCAGCCCCGCGCCCGGGAGGCGGAGAGGAGCGGGGGCGCGGTGCGTGAGGAGCGCCCCCAGGACCTCCGGGGGCGGCGACGGCGTTTCCGCCTGCACGGTCAGCACTCCGGACCCTGGGGAGCACAGCAGCGCCTGGGGGGAGTTCGAAGGCTTTCAGGAATCTTCAGCCAAGTCTCCACACTTCTCCCAACCCTTTGAACTCCCGGACAGACACGCGGGACGCGGGCTGCAGAGCGCGGCCTCCACTCCAAAGGAGCGGGGTTCTGGCCAGCCTCAGCGGGGCGGGCCTGGGGCGGCCGGGACCCCCGGCACCTCCGCCTCCGAGGTATTTCTGCCAGTCCCCGTGTCCGCCGCCGCCGTGTGGCACAGCGAGCGCTCTACACGCCGCCGGCCTCCAGCTTCAGTGGGCTGGCCAGGCAGGAGGCCTGTTTCTCTCTTGGCCTTCGTCCTTGGCTGGCTGGCCTCCTGACACAGGGAAGGAACCAGGCTGCAGAAGGGGACCGCGCCTGGGGGGACTCGGGAGCTGGGCCGCTTTCTGTGCCCACCCGTCCGGGGTCGGGCACATCGGCCTCGTCTTGCCTCCCCCCTCCTGAGGCCTCTACGATCCGTGTGCCCACCGTCCCCTCCTTAGGCCTCCAGCATCCGGCTGCCCTCAACCCGGCTGTGCTTTCCTGGCCTCAGGTCGGGCACTTGGGAGAGAGTTTTTTGTCTCGGCTGTCAGTCTGCCTGTTTAGACAGCATCACCAAGGGTCATTTGCAGTCTGTGTGACGATCCGGTGCTGGGGATGGCCCGGAGAGCCCAGGCCTCATCCCCTGGGCGCCCTGCTCTGCCCTTCCCGACCTGACCACCAGGTCTACCTTTTCTGTGACTGCATCTCATGTGGCTTTTTCTGGTTTTCCTCTTCCGCCCCTGGCTTCTCTTCCTCTACGGTCTCTTCCCAAGGGCTAACCCTGGATTCCACGAGAACAGAGGGAGTAAGATGAAGAAGGGACCAGAGGAAAGGTTCCACTGGTTCTAGGGACGAGCTGTGTGTTTCCCGAGCAGCTGGGCTCTCCCCAGCCCCTGACGGGCCCCTTTGTGCATGGGGCCCGCTCTGCTCACCACTTGTGTTGGAAACAGGACTTGTGTTCCAGCGTGATTAATAGGTCAGGGAACAATCTGAGGATAGTGTGAACTTTGCAGGAGACGCTAGGTGAATGCAGAAAACCACCCCACTGACCTCAGTATATACACCGTGCGCACGCACATCTCCAACAGCTCTCTGGGTTCCCGGCCCTGTCGGCTTGCACCCCCGCCCTCGCCCCCAGCCTCCCAGCGTGCACACCTGTCACTTCCTGCTGGACTTCAGACAGCCCTCATTTCAGGGCTTCACGCCCTGACCTTTCCAACCTCAGATCATCTCCCAGGAAATGCCACATTACTGTCGTGCGGGTAGATTTCCCAGCCAGTTAACATGCGGGAAACACATTTTTATGAGTGCCTCTTTCTCACGTGTCTGACGAAGCTTGAGTGTTGTGCCCTAATCTCGCTGTCCCACACCCCATGGGAACAAGCGTGTCCTGTTTTGGTAACAGTAATGGTACAATCGTTACACGTTTCATTTACGCCAAAGTTATGTATTTGGTATAAGGTGATGTAATGTATTTTTTCTAGTGTTTTTTTTTTTGTTGTTGTTGTTAATTTATTTTTTAGAGAGAGAACACGGAAGGGGCAGAGAGAGAGAATTCCAAGCAGACTCTGCACCATCAGTGTGGAGCCCGATGTGGGACTCGAACTCATGATCCGTGAGATCATGACCTGAGCTAAAGTCAGATACTTAACCGACTGAGCCACCCGGGCACCCTGTAATGTATCTCTTCTAACGTCCATGTGTTTCTCTCTTCTTTTCAGCTCATTCTCAGCTATGAGGATGTTTTCAGGTTTGCTTTTCAGGAAGTACCAGTCCAGCAGGCAACTGAAGGTGTCTCCCCCTTAGACCGCCTCTTAGAAATGAGCGGTGAGGGAAAACCTGGCTGTGGACCTGGACACATACTGTGGTAATGAACTTAAATTGCAGCTGACATTTCTCATGGCAACTCTGAGTTTATGCTTCTGGTTGATAAAGTGGACCTTTATCGGGAGCCCGTCTCTCCTGAAGTCCCCACAACCTTGCGGCCATGGGGCCCTCCCGGACAGAGGGGCATGTGGGTTGATGCTCTGGCCACGGTCCCTTCTCTCAGACCCACGTGTGGCCCCCTCCATCCCCATCAGCTCACCCGGGGCAAGGGTGGGCCGGCGAGTGCCAGCTCCTGATGCCTCCCTGCACATGCTGGGGGTGCGGAAAGGACGGGGGCCTGGGCCGTGGGCACAGGGGCCTCCTGGGTGACCTGACCGAATGGTCCTGGGCCCCCAAGAAAACAGCCCAGCGCCCTGGAGGGACGTTCCCGACAGCCTGTGTGCATCTGGTGCGGAGCGGAAGGCTGGCCGCCCTGGGGACCGGCTTTCTAAAGGAGTCACCATGCGGTTGTTTGCAGACGGCCGTTGCCTAAGGCGCGCTTCCACTGGGACTGACAGAGGGACGAGGGCCGCTCAGTGGGTGGTGTGTCCTGGCGGGGAAGGTTGAGGTCCACTGGGCCAAGGCCACAGCAGGAGGTGAAGGTCGGCAGGAGCTGGCTCCCCTGGCCCCTCCATGCCTCTTTGTCAGAGAGGGAGCTCTGCAGACAGGCCACTCCTGGGGTCCAAGCCGGTGGCTGCCCCCCCCCCCCGGGAAGCCCCCGCAGAGGCCTGGGGACAGAGGCCCGAAGCCCAGAGGGCTGTGACCACCATGGCCCAGAGGGCCGTACGCCCTGCGGACGTGGTGCTTCCCCGAGGTGTGGTCCGGGCCAGCAGGCAGGTAGAGGGGCCTCAGGTGGCAGCATGAGCCTCAGACACCCAGAGGGTGGGTGGTCCCGGGGGCCAGGTCTGGCGGGGCTGGGCCCGGTTGTGGGATGGAAGGCAGGGGGCACCTTGGGGTGTGCGAGCAAGAGGACTACTTGGGAATGATGTGGGCACTTGGTGTAACTGCCCCTGCTGTGGTTCTCCGTGGGCACACCTCCCCTTGCCTCGTGGGAGCTGGGCCAGCAACCGGGGACGGCACGTGGTTGAAGGGGGGGCTAGAAATCGTGGACGGCACGTGGTGGGGGGGATGGCTCGTGACCGTGGACGGTGCGTGAGAGACACCCAGGGGTTCGTCC